TAAAAAGTTTTATTATCAAATAGGGTGTTACCCTTATGATATATACCAGATTATATACTATGCTCTGAAACAGAACTACAAATAGGAGATATCTTATGTAATATTGCCGGATAGTTTATACAGAAGTCAAAGGTTGGTTCTGTCCCATGAAAATGGCAACGTAATGGGTATATTATGCCACCTTTTGCATTGAAATGCCTGCTTATTATATTTTCAACCTTTTTTCTCAGCAAGTCCTTGACTTTTGGAGAAATTAAGCATTTTCTTTCAGAGTGCAAAGCATTTTGGCCAAATTTCTGCTTGTAACTCCTGCTGACTTTCAGGCACCCAGAGGTGAGGAGAAAGGGTTCTTAGCAGCAGCAGCAAAATCTGAGATAAGAAGACAGAGAGATTAAAGCATGAAATACATTGTGCAAAACAATGCACTTTGTCCCTATTTGTTTACCATTTGCAAAAACAGGCAATAAGTCCTGGTGAAGCAGTATTAAAAAGTAGGTTTAAAAGTGAAAACAGCAAGGTTGAGGTGCAGGATTGATCAAAGTATAGTTTATATTTATTCAGAAGATCTACCAGTACTTTAAAACAATCTGTGTTTAACATGGCAAATTGTCTGTCATTAAAATGCTAATGAAATGGTAAATAGCTGCTGAGTTTTTATGCTAATGAGTAGTGTCACCTAAGTAGTTCTCAAGCCTTGTCTTTATTAGCATAGAGATTTGATTGGGTAAGAGGGATCATTGTGCATGCCAGCCTTTGTTGATGGAGTAATCTGTTTGTGAAGTTCCCTGTTGCATTCAATTTGATTTGGATTTTTTAGTATAAAGTGACTCTCACCAGGCCCTCAGGTACCAGGTACACAGTATTATCAGAGCCACCACTGTGGGCTTAGAGAAAGAACTTTGCCTCCCTTCAGGACACCCACAATGGCAAAATAATTACACATTTGTTTATTGTTCAGCTTTAAATAGAATGAGTCTATGCACTTACTTTAGACATTTAATGACGATAGTATTAACATTAAGATAGGCCACTGGTATAAGAAATATTTCTGTTTTTTTAATTTAGCTAAGAGTTTAAAGCAAAGCTTTTAAGATAAATATTTTAATAAGGGCTTCTGCAACATTTGATATATTTATATAATACACCATTGTAGATCTATAAGCACTGAAGTTAACATTACCTAATTTGAAGAGTAATGTGTAATTAAATACAGGGTGGTTATGTGAATGACAGGCTGAGATCAGAGTATGTACTTGAGCATCAGAAAAAAAAACATTACTCTCAATCTATACTTTTGGCTGGTTCTATTTCTGCTGAGTGCTACTCTGTCTTCCCTAATGGATGAGGCTGACCTCAAGACTTGCCATTACAGATAAATGCTTTAAGCACGCTTCTCTCTTTTTTCTCTTCTGTTTTTTAGGATCAATGTAAATGAAGTATGACAGTCCATTACACACTATTGCCAATAATGCTCTGGAACAATTTGAAACATGATACAGAGTTTATTAAGAAAATTCATTACCAAAAAGGGATCATTGAAATAGAAATTTTAATGAGTCTGGGACACTGTGTAAAAGATTGGTGGAAATTTTAATAGCTGGAGCATTATCTCATATTGTTCATTTCTCCTTGAAGCCAATAGGAGATGTTAGGCATGTAATTATTATGTGGTCCTACGTAGGCAGGCCAGGAAAAATTGGAACCCTCATACACTGATAGTAATCATGTAAAACGTTTCGGACCCTTTGGAAAACAGCCTGGCACTTCTTCAAAATACTAAGCCATCTAGTTACCAGATGACCCAACAATTTCCAAAATTTGACTCCCAGGTATATACCTGAGAGAACAGAAAACATATATCCACATAAGGACTTGAATACGAATATTCATAGTAGCATTATTTATAGTAGCAAAAAAGTGGGAGTAATTCAAATGCCCATTAATTGATGAATGGATAAGCAAAATTTGGGACATACATACATTAGACTATTATTAAGCCTTAAAAATGAATGAAATTCTGATACGTGCTACAAAATAAACTTCAAAAACATTATGTCAGATGAAAGAAGTGAGTCACAAAAGACTACATGACATATTATATGATTTCATTTAAATGAAATGTCCAGAATAGTGAAATCTAGAGATAAAGAAAATAGACTAGTGGTTGCCAGGAGCTAGGGATATTAGGAGGAAATGGGGAGTGACTCCTAATGGATAAGAGTTTCTTTTAGATGTCATAAAAATGTTCTAAAATTGATTATGATGATGATTGATTTGGAATTCAAAATAGCCCAAATGTTATCTTGAATTATAGCTCCCATAATCCCCACATCGTGGGAGGAACCTGGTGAGAGGTAATTAAATCATATGGGCAGGTTTTTCCCATGCCGTTCTTGTGACAGTGTATAAGTCTCATGAGATCCGATGGTTTCATAAAGGGGAGTTCCCCTGCACACTCTCTCTTGCCTGCCACCATGTAAGACATGGTTTTGCCCCTCCTTCACCTTCCATCATGATTGTGAGGCCTCCCCAGCCATGTAGAACTGTGAGCTAATTAAATCTCTTTTTCTTTATAAATTACTCAGTCTCAGGTATTTCTTCATAGTAGTATGAAAATGGAATAATACAACAACTCTGTTAATATGGTAAAAACGATTGAATTCTACAATTCAGAAGAATTGTCTGGTATATGAGTTATATCTCAATAAAGTTGTTATATATATATTAAAAAAAAAAAAACCTGACATGCCAGAGCCTGTCTCCCAGAGAGCCACCTGTACCAGCTGTTACTTATCTATACTACATGAAAGTTATATGCTAAAGAAGAATTCTTATTATTGGAGAAGAGCATTATAAATCCTTTACTCATGCATTAAGCCAAATATCTAAAGAGGTGACAGAAGTTCTAGCTAGAGTGTTTAGACAAGAGAAAGAAATAAAAGGCATCCAAATTGGAAAGGAAAATGTCAAATTATCATTATTTGCAGATGGTATGATCTTATATTTGGAAAAAACTGAAGATTCCACTGAAAAAACTAGTAGAACTGATAAACAAAATTGGTAAATTTGCAGGATATGAAATCAGGATACAAAAATTAGTAGCATTCCTACATACCAAGAGCAAACAATCTGAAAAAGAAATCAAGAAGGTAGTCCTATTTACAATAGCTATAACTAAAATTAAATGCCTAGGAATTCATTTAACCAAAGAAGTAAAAAATCTCTACAACAAAAACTATGAAACATTGATGAAAGAAATTGAAGAGGACACACGCACACACAAAAATGGAAGAATATTCCATGTTCATGGATTGGAAGGAACAATACTGTTAAAATGTCCATACTACCCAAAGCAATCTGCAGATTCAGTGTAATCCCTATCAAAATACCAATGACAACATTTTTCACAGACATAGAACAGACTACCCTAAAATGTATATGGAAGCACAAAAGATCCAGAATAGCCAAAATTATCCTGAGCAAAAAGAACCAAACTGGAGGAATCACATTACCTGCTTCAAATTATTCTGCAGAGATATAGTAACCAAAACATTGTGGTACTTGCATAAAAACAGACACATAGACCAATGGAACAGAATAGAGAACCCAGAAATAAATCTGTACGTCCACAATGAACTCATTTTTGTCATTTTGACAAAAATATACATAGTGGAAAGGACAGTCTCTTCAATAAATGGTGGTTGAAAGCTGATTGTCTATATTTAGAAGAATGAAACTAGACTCTACAAAAAGATACAAAAATTAGCCAGGTGTGGTGGCATGTACCTGTGCTCCTAGCTACTTGGGAGACTGAAGTTGGTGGATCACCAGTGCCCAGGGAGGTCAGGGCTACAGTGAAAGATGATCACGTCACTGCACTCCAGCCTGGGTGACAGACTGAGAGACCCTGTCTTGAAAAATAGTAATAATAAAATTAAATTTAAATTAAAAAATATGTAGTTAGAATGGATAATATCTAGTATTTGATAGCACAATAGGCTGACTATAGTCAAAATAACTTATTGTACGTTTCAAAATAACTAAAAGAGTTTAACTGGATTGTTTGTAATGCAGAGAAAGGATAAATGCTTGATGGGATGGATACTCCATTTACCCTGATGTGATTATTATGCATTCTGTGCCTGTATCAAAATAGCTTGTGTACTTCATAAATGTATGTACCTATTATGTACCCACAAAAGTTAAACAATTATGTACCCACAAAAGTTAAAAATAGTCAACTAGGAAAAACTAGAGGTGACAGCTAATTTAAATGCTAAAAGGGATATTTGCTACAATAATACAAAACTCATTAGAAATAAAAGTCGAATATAAATATTCAAATCCCTCTCCTAACTACTACCTGTCCCCGAATACCATCTGCAGCCAAGCCATAATAAACCCTTTTAGTCTTTAACTATCCAATGTCTAGACTACCCATTCACCTCAAAGTAAGAATAACTTTCAGAAATTTTTCTTTTTTAAGAGAACAAGTTGAATCATAACTTCGAGAGCAGACAGTAACTATACAGGTTCAAGTTGTCTTTTTCTTGTAAAAACCCTGTAATTATATTTGATTTGCATAAAACTCGTCTACTAGCCATTCGGTAATTCTGAATAGCAAAGAGTGTCTGGCTTCAAGATGCTCCTCCCCGCTTCTCTCCTGCACTTTTGGCTAGTCAGAAGCAAAGAGTTGGCCAACAGGATATTCTCATTCAGCCTGACCCACCTGCCAGTAGGATCTGTCAACTAGGTGTCCTGGCTGAGTCTGAGCATTTCTCAGCCCTTGCCCATAGGGAAGCGTTGTGCATCACTGTCTTGGATAATGAGGAGGAAGATCATTTTTATTGTGTTTACTACTCCTGTGCCATTTGCTTACTTCCAGCATAACTCTATTGCTTGCAGGTTACAGCTCAACAGATTTGTTCTTGCACTGCAGGTTTGGGAGGCAGATGGATGTAAGCCAGAAATTGAATTCATTTTTGTTTTGTTCTTGGCAGGTAGTACATGCCACACTACTACCCTTCCTGCTCTTGTGCGCACACCTACCCTGATGATGCAGCCTTCACTGGATATCAAACCATTTATGTCTTTTCCAGTGGACAGTAGTTCTGCTGTTGGGCTCTTTCCAAATTTTAACACAGTGAGTAAATTCATTTCTATTTTATTTCTGTCCTCCTCCATTGCTTTCATTACATTTGTGAATAGTCAGTGGATACAGCCTGTTTCCAAAATATGTAATTTTAGACCATATGTTGGATATGCTGCTCAGTTGTTCTATGAAAGATGATTCTTCACCCATGGGAGTAGCCCAAACAATAGCCAGCATCTTTATTATACAAATATTTCCACAGAAAACTTTTCACCTGTTGTGTTGTACAATTTTGATAAAATTTTCAGTGGCTTTGGAATATATGTCACTTCTGGGATGTTATTCACATGCTCAGGAACACAATTTAAAGATACCAAGACACATTGATTTTTCCCTTCTCTTAGAAAGAAAAAAAAACGAATGTAGGCCATGTCTCTCTGGCTGCATTTTTATTTGGGAGATATTTTAGATAAAATGTGACTCTTACACAAACAAAAGTTATATTTGGGGGCTATTGTAGATTATGTTAATTTGACTCTATTAAGAAAAAGAAAAACACTCATTTTAAATCTACATATTAGTTATCTGCAAGATACTTTGACATTTTAAAATCTACGATAAACGTTAGTGAATTACCTATAATTACTAATGTTCTTCAGGTCTGCTGACTTTCTTTTATTTGAATGGAAAACATTTTGTAGGTATGTCAAGTGGAGCATGAAATATTTCAACAATAGAATTTAGCATAAAATCAATCTGTAGCCAGATTCTAAACCTTATAGTAAAAGAAAAGGTTCAACAGTTCAGGTGAATGCATAAATTGTCAGCTTGGTTGATAAATACAGTCAGTTGGGGCATGATGGTCTACATGAATGATACAGCATTCTAAATGCCGCTGTAATAAAATTGCATTATCTACACCATGAGACAGTGAACATCTGAAGTATTGCGAAATGTTTCATTTGGCAAACTTATTTTCTGTTTGAAGCGAAAACAGCAAGAGAATTTTTCCTTAAGGATTTTCAATAAAATCTGCTGACAAGCCCTCTGTCAGGGCTTAGAGTTGTAAGGTAATTAGGGAGTAGGGCATCGGCCAACTTTTTACAGAGCACTGGCCTTGACTTAGTGAGTAAACAGTTGAATGTTTTTGTCTTCTTTGAGGTTTTCAGAGACAAGTCAAATAGTTAATGAAAGAAAAGCTATAAAAGGTGAGCATTGTTCCTTGAGTAGTAGAATGGCTCAGTAGGATAAATCATGCCTGCCTTGGTTCCATCGATCCAACTCCTCCCAGAGCACCACATTACACCATTTCAGAGAACGTGAACTTGATGATGCCAATGGTATCCCCTATTCAAACATTTGTGACATATTCCAAACATAACTGAATTAAGCTATACTTCATAAAACGTTTATGAGGTCTTTGGAAGTTAGCATTTATAGCCATTGCAGAAATCTAGCTGCTGTCAGGAAGCAGCATTCATGGTACAAGTAGTCATAAATGGCTTACTGTGGCAGACCTCTCTTTATTTATTTTATTTTACTTTTTACTTTATTTATTTATTCGAGACAGCTTTGCTCTGTTGCTCAGGCTGGAGTGCAGTGGCATGATCTCAGCTCACTGCAGCCTCCACCTCCCAGGTTCAAGTGATTCTTGTGCCTCAGCCTCCTGGGTAGCTGGGATTACAAGTGCATGCCACCATGCCTGGCTAATTTTTGTATTTTTGATAGAGACAGGGTTTCGCCATGTTGGCCAGGCTGGTCTCAAACTCCTGGCCTCAAGTGATTCGCCCGCCTCCACCTCCTAAAGTCCTGGGGTTATATGTGTGAGCCATTGCACCGGCCTCTTTGTTTTTTTTAAACATAAATAATATATGAATACTTACTCCAAAAATTCAAATAAACCAGCATTCAGGGTAAAATTAGAAAGTCACATTCCCTACCCCTGCACACACTTTTACTTCCTTCACTAGAGGAAGGAGGTCAGCAGCTGGTATCGATCCTTCCAATTCCCTTCTGGAAGTATGTTATGCATATACCTAAAGGGTATCTAGTCACAGTTTCATTTTTCACAACTGCAGTCATATAATTAGCACTATCTGTTAGTCACATTTTTGGTTATCAAAATGTCTTACATCTGCCTCTCTGTTTGGAAGAGCTGTAAAACAAAAATCGAGATAATATTTTCATAAAGGATTTTTAAAGATAAAATTACAATTTCATAATAGTTTATGAATGTTGCATAGAAGATATAGATGCAGTAATATGTCTTTTTGTTTGATTAATTATACACAGCAGTTAATCTTATTATATATTTGAGAAAACCCAAAGAATAATTATATTAATAGAAGTTCATTTTTTTTTCTTCTTGAAAGAAAATTAACATCATTTTCAAATAAAAATACTATTTGGTGAAGGTGAAGAATATCACAAAGAATTACATTAAATAATTATTTTACTCTCCCTATATTATATGCATGGCATTTATTAAACAGAGAGCTCTTCTAGTAGTGTATTGAATATTAAGTCATTATAAGTGGAACCCCTATCATCTTGTAAGACATGAATTTATGTGATCATTGGGTGACCTATGATTTTTCACTGTGAGTTGCAACTTAAATTATTCTAATCCTTTTCCTATAGACTTTTCCATTCTGTTATCCAACTCACCCAACAGAATACCTAAGGGAATGTCATGAAAGTCATTGTCTACATTTTCCTAGGAAAATGCTGTTATATCACCATTTATAACTACACTGGACTATTGTATATCTGTGATTTTTTCATCTCTCAAAGTACTTAGACCTCAAAACGTTTTGGTAGGCCATGATTATTACTCCTATTGTCTCGAGGAAGAAAGAGAATTATTGAAGGAAGAACTGAGACTTGAATTAGAATCTTTTTAACTTCAAAACTCATGTTTGGGCCCTATGTCCTTCAGTCTTTTGGCCCATATCACCTCCCACCTCATTCACTGTGAACAAAGCTCAATCAGAAATCTTTTGTACTCTTTTCTGGAGCTGTGGTAGGCAATTTTCAATAGAATCATTAAATAGAGGAAATGGTTTTTTGAATGTGTATAATAGACCTCTATAAACAATATGAAGCAGAAAATATTTGAAAAACATCTATAATTTCTTGTTGGCAAATTTTTAAAGTATATTGTACTCAATAGTCCACCTGTTCTTTGAAAACAAGGTGAAATTTACCATATCTCTTTATTTTTAACCAAGGTTAATATTAGTAAATATAAGAAATGAGGCCAATTTTCATCTTATAATTATTATCAGAAGAATGAAAACACTATGCTGCGACACCATAGCTGAAAGTTTTGAAGGTTTGATGTTTTGTTATTCTCTTTAAGTAGATTTTTTAAAATATATAATGTTTTCCTCTACTGAGACCAGCTCGGCCATAGAGACCCCCCACCCAGAGGCGCTGAAGGCATTAAGAAGCAGACACCCAGATAGAATAGCAAAGTGGGACTGTTTGGGGGCCAACAGTCTTCCGAGCAGAGAGCTTCAGCCGGCTGACAGCATTCTGGGCTGAGGGCCTCGAGCAGACTCTGACCTACGTATTTATTCTCTCTGAACAATGATTATTATTAGCAAACAGGTGTTCTGTTTTCTCATAGAACCAAGACAAACTAGGTAGGCAGCTGGTGCCTACTTACCACTAATCAAGGACAAACTAGAAAGTATTCTCCACGAGGGAGCCACAGGGAGCAGGATCACATATCCTGTGCTTAAAGAATTGTTTTAACTGGTGTATGATATACATATACTGTTTTGCTACTTTAGAATGCCCTATGCAGTTTTCCACTTAGCAGGGGGTGGGGGGGTGGCTAGGCTTTTTTTTGCCATCATTCTTCTTAGCAAATAATATAATTTTATCATGCACTCAGCATTTCTCAGCATTCCTCTTTCTTATAGTGAAATATAATATCTGATAAACATAGAAAGAATTAAATGAAATTATGTTGTATTCCAATATAGAATAAATGCCCGTTCTATGCTAAGTTGTACCCAATGAAGAAATATCGGGTTCTTTTAGTGGTTGCCTTGCCTTATCCACCACAACTGACACAATCTCCCTCAATGCTTATGTATGAAAAAATAAGCAAATAATTTTAGTCTTTGTATAAGCAGAGTTTAAAGAGACATGATAAAGAAGATGGAGTATGGATCATTGATAACTTATGATGGAGTACATGCCAAGGACACATGACTGCAGGATGATGATGTTAACTCTATGCTTCAGCAGTGTACTTTACAGAGGGGATGTTTTGAGGCATTTATAGGTAAAAGCCTGTGTGGACCAAAACATAAAGTTTAAAAGATCTTGATCCTAATATTCCAAAGCCTGTGCCTGGCTACCCACTAAAGCTCATTTCCACCACTGCTACCCTACCTTCAACTATGTGTCATTCAAAGTTCAACTTAGATATCTCCTCCTTCCCAGAAAGTCTTCTGTGACTCTTCCAGTCTGAATTAAGTCCCATCCTCTGTGTTCCAAAGTAGCCCCAGATTACATCAATTATAGCAGTTATCACACCATAGCCTAATTACCTGCTAATCTTTCTTCTTCACTAGAACATCAGATCCTCGAGGACAGAGGCATCTTATTCATCTTAGTATGTTGGGTGTCTGACACAGGCACTCAACAAAATTTTTTGGAAGAGAGGAAAAGTCAGAAGGAAGTGCCCCAGTTCCTTGGTTTTCAATGTTCATACTCTCCAATCTAGTAAAAGGAATATTAACATTTATGAGTCCCTTCTAAGACCAGGTGATAAGCCCAAATGCTTAACTTTATTTTTATATTCCTGAGAACTATCATTGTTTTCTAGCCTAAAGGCAGTAGTTACAAACTCTATTCCAGCTATAGTGCCCAGTGCTCTCTGTTTGGCTGGTGTATGAATATTGGGAGTTTAATACATTCCTTGTCCCAGAACCCAGCTTTAAGAGTATTTAAAAGCAAAATTGTTAGTGACTGGATTTTATGGAAAATATATGTAGTAAAGAGTATTAGGTTTGGGAAGAAGATAAGCAAATTAA